CCATTTGATGATAAGCCTGGGTTTTGAGCAATTCCCCATTTAATTATATATTTCCAAATTTTTATTTCTTCCATTTGTAAATCTTCTCGTTTAATAAGTGATACTAATGCATTTTCTTGAAGTGATGTAAAGTCTTCGGAATCAAGAATCTTATTTGGATACTTTACTAAAAAATCATTACACCATTTTTGTAAACTTTGAAATTGATTATTTTGAAAGCTTTTTTGATAAATCCGTGTAAAATGTAATCTAAGCCAGTGAGATTTTGTCTCAACTAAATGAATTTCAATATGCTTAGCTAAATCCTCTAGAAGAAGCTCTGAAGCAATAAACATGAGTTCAAAAATGAACGATGTGTCTTGACTTTCCAGTAAAATCACTCCTCCGTAAATATATCTTTATTAAATTTGTGTTAGAATTAGTTCCTTAATATATGTTATAGATATTATTAAAACATGCAGTAACTTACTTAAGAATAGATTCAAATTGTTGAATAGAAACATGGTTTAAATTAATAGTTTTGATGTTATTTGCATCTTTACTGGTATTTGCTAATTTATCTCGAAAATACAAAGATATATATCTTAAAACATTTGAATGTGCTCGAAATATCTTTGTATTTGGTGATTCTCCAGCATTAATTATTACATTATAATCCTCTTCATCATTAAGAAGTTCAAGGTAATCTACCGAAAGTTTTTCTAAATGTCTTGTTGCCATTTTTTTAGTTTAAAGAGATTTCGTAGCACGCAAATCATATTCCAATTAAATATTGTAACAAGGTATAAAACAGTTACACTACAGAAATCATCATTGTTTTACAAATATCCTTATTTATATTTGAGTCGAAAACGTCACTTCAGCACTTACGTACGTAGTCTCAAATCAATTAAAATTTATAGTTGATTTATAAATTCTTAATTATACCACTTTAATTTTTGAACTTTCTATTAATAAAACCACGTTGTTTGTTATGTCCGATTTTACTATTCTGTTCAGTTTAGTTTAAAATGCAAGTTATATTCCGGTCCGGATTATAATGCAATGTAGTAGTATTAATGATAATAATTCCAATTGCCAATTTAAATGTTATGACTACTTTTTAAATTGTTGAATGCAGTAGTAATAGTTTAAGATAGTTATGAGCAGAATTGATTCCTCAACCAATTTATTATAATCGAATCCAAATTGTTATATTAATGAGAAAAAACTAGTTTACTAAAATCTTCATTAACAGTAAAATATTAAAACCTGCTTAATATTATTTTTTTGTCATTATAATTTCTTGAAAAAAATCTAGTTTTACTGTTTAAATAACCCTTTCTATACTTATTTTTATCTTTCTAATAAGGGAAAATTTTTTCGGTTCTTTATAATATTTAACGCTATTTTCATTACCATAAAAAAAAATTACAGCCAGCTCTTTCTGAAAAGGAATAAAAAATCTTATTATAGAAAATTGAACATTTTATTAAAGCTTTTTATTACGAACTATTATAAAATTATTGGCAATATATTATTAAAAAAAACTCTATATAATCAAATTACTATTCAAATTTTATAATCACATCTTTTTTTATGTAAAACAAACTGCGTGACTATAGAGGAGGGTGACCTGTAATTGTTATTAAATGGTTTAGGAAGTTTTGAAAGATTCAAAAATTGACTTGTATAATAGTTTGCAAATGTGTCTGCTATTTGTATTGCGCCGATTTAACTTGATTATGTGTTGAAACTTTTATCTATGTTTAATATTTATAACTTTATTAATTATGTTTAGAACTTGTAATTGCCAAATAAATAACTCTAAAAATTCTTGAATAGTCAATTAATATTTATTAAAGGGTTTGTAACTGCATAATAATTGTCTGTTCTAAAAAAGAATGCTTAGAATTTATTCAAAATTCATTAAAATAATTACTGTAGTTTAATACAAAATATAATGGATGTATCAAATCATTTACAATAGTACTCTTATATAGTCACACCCTCTTCATAAGCATCATTTTTGAAAATTATTTGCAATTTATCTACAGTCGTCCTTCTCTATAGTCACCTCCTATACAGTAAAACCTCCATAAGTGCAAACAACGTGCACTTAGGAATCAATAAGAGAAAGTGCATTTATAGGTTGCATGTATATATTTGGACCAGAACTTGAGCATTTAGAGAGGGTGTGCACTTATGGAGGTTTTACTATAATTTGTTGCACTTTCCCAAACTACTAATCGAATACCAAGATCTGGCTTATTTAAAAAATCATTTATAGCTTGAAATTTCTCTTATGAAATCACCTTTTTCAAAAATTTTATGAATCACTCTAATTTTATTTTAATTCTAAATTTGACTCTAAATTGTTGCGATATTTGATTTCATTACACCTGGTCTTAGATTGGATCAGTGTATAAAATCTATGTGCACAATGTGCTCAGTGCATATTTTTTTGAAAAGTTTCACATATTTTGGTCGGAATGTGCACATGATTTACCAACTTTTCAAAAACATAGTGCACCAAATTTTCTAATAAAATATTAATTATGTGCACATGATCAATAAGTACACATGATTTAATTAATGGGGGAAACAATGGCCAATGATAGTAGAAAGCATTCTATATCCATGTAATTAACATATTTATATGCTTTGATCTTTAATTTCTTAAAAAGTTTGTTTAGCAACATATGGTATGTATGGTTAGCTGCTTAATAATATTGCACAAAATTAAGAATGAATAGTGTTGTAATATTTTAGTAGTAGGTTTATTTATATTTATAAGATCTAATTTGCACTTTATACTAAGTCTTGTGATTTTCAAATTACAAATAATTCAAATCTTTATTTTGTATATATACAAATATATAAGAAATTGATTGTATTTTATTATAAAGAGATAACAAAAAATACCATTCTCAGATCAAACTGTTTGATAATTTAAACTATTTAATATAATAAATTTTATAGTGCACATATTTTTATTAATATAAAAATTCATAGTATACTAATTTTTAAAATTGTTCACATAAATTTAATATGCACTGTGCACAACATTCACATGTTTTTGAGTTGTGATTTTATACACTGGATTGGATTATTACATTTCAATACATCTGCACAAATTTAAATTCAAAATTTATCTTTAATACAAGTATTTAGCTTTATCTAGATTTTCTTATCCCAATTTCATTTCGATAACGTTTTGCAACTGACGACATTCCATTAGTGTACCCATCTCTGAAAATTCCTGCCAAAAGATGAAGGCTTATTTTTTAATGTTCATACTTCTCAACTCCAATTCATGGTGATAACAATTTCCAACATATATATGTTCCTTTGGCATTCCCCAATTCAGCAGATTTCAGAATATAGATGAATGTCTTATTTCATTCTTTTCAACTCCAATTCCATTACGATAACATATTCAATCTTATTTGTTTCGTCAGCATTTCCCATCTCTGCAGGTTTTTAATAATGAATGAAATCCTTATGTTCATTCTTTTCAATTACAATTACAATTTGATAACAACTTCCAATTCTATGCATATAACAGCATCCAACATTACACGCTTTACTATATCCAATCTCTACAGATTTTTGCTAATAAATAAAAGCCTTATGTTTATCCTCTTCAAACCATTTACCAAAATAATAACAATTTGCAAGAATAATAGGATTGAATTATCATTAAGCAAAAATTGATAATATCACTGGGATTTTGTTTTTTTGATTACTAGAAATAGAATTTGGAATCGAATATTAGATTAATTGTATATTCAAATCAATTCGTATTAATTATGAATTTGAATTAATTCGAATATTCAAAACCATTATAAAACCATTACAAAATCGTTACAAAACTGTTATAAACGATTATTTTTAGCTGCTATAACAGTAATTCTGTATCTATTTATTCAATATTAATTTATTATATAACCTTATATTATCTTTATTATTTTATAAATATTTTTTCATAGGGACCTTTTGTAAATCTCCAGTTAGTACCTGGTAAAGGTTCATCATATAATACCAAACCTTTAAAAAATTATTATCTATGACGACATAGTATCTGCTTCATGGTGAAGCAAATGTACTGTACAGAACTGTTATCGAAATCATTTTCGAGTCTGATAATATGTTAAATTGGTCACTTTTATTCTGTGCATTATAATATAATCTCAGTAGGAGATCTTAGGTATTGTTTTGGTATACCGTATAAGCGCGTAATAACGCACATGGGTGTTATTTCGAAATTTCGATTTTTTTAAAAATACCATATTTGACTCAAATTAACGCCCATGCGCGTCTCAAAATAACGCGCCCCTCTATATGTACCATATTATCACTCAAGAAAGTAGTTGAAATTTTTTTTCAAAATTAGCATAATGATTCGAATTATCGCGCATGAGCGTCCCGATATAACGCGCAGGGGCTCGAAATAACGCGCCCCTGCGTGTTATTACGCGCTTATACGGTACTATAATATTTCCTACTGATAATTCAATTTGACTATAGAATGTTATCCGGCAAACTCTTATGATCATGAAAAAAATTCTTTTTGATATTTTTTTCATGTGTTACAACGTAATCATGTTTATTCGAATTAAAACACAGTTAGCCAATCACGACTTGAGAATTATGATCGATAACACAAATATTGAGTCATGCGTTAATAAACATCGTAAAATTTGTCCAGTCGTGTAAATGATTGGCTGACATGTGCCGCTGCGCGCCATCGTCGGCCAATCATTTACACGACTGGACAAATTTTACGATATTAATCGATGCATGATCAATATTATATACTTATTACCAATTCGCTTGTCGAAAATGTTATATTAGAAAAATAATCTATGAAAGTTTTCTGAAATTAGAATTAAGAGCAAATTTTGGGTAATAGTTGTCCAAATACATGCATTTGGTATTGTAGAATTTACATCTAAAAACATTCAAGCAGTATTGTTAAGGAGCATTCCATCTGGTATTACAAGATTCCCAGGTAATGCGGGTGAATCCCAATGCTTAGAGAAATTTCCTTGATATCATAAATATAATCAATTATAGTATTTCACTCCACAATTGGTAAATCTTATTAATATCATAAGTAATGTCACTAAAGTTCAATGCCAAAAGTGTTTTTGCGCCCCATTCGAAAAAACTGCTACTTTCAAGTAACGTGCAGGAAATTTGAAGTTCTATTCGTTTTAATGCTAAAAACACAAGCTAATCCAATCTCATAAGATGTACGTATTAAATATATCAATTGTTTCAATATTCACCGAAAATGCTTGTGATATATCTTGATATATTAATGATGGCTCTGTCGTATAGTATTATGGACGAAAAAAATACTACATTAGCTATCCATTGTGCGTCAGAGAATCACAATCAATTGTTGATGAAATTATAAAAAAGTTGTCTCCATCTGAAAATATTACATAACGTTGATCCCTGTAATATATATATATATTTGTTACGTAATATTCCAAATATATTGAGTTATGCCATTAAAACTTACGAAACAGAATATTTATGTAGTCTTTTTGAGACAAGCGGTTGACCCATATAAATCCATATCTCCGAGTAGCATCGGCCACAATGTAGCCAATGATGATGTATCGCTTGTAGTAAGGCTAATAAATTCAAGGCTCAGTTCTCTTTATTAAATTGTATAATAGATAGTTGTTACATTAAACGAATTCAAGATTGCATATACAGCAGAGATAGGTTAGAATTAATACCGAATATAAATTAATTAATATACATAAAAAGAGGACACACCTTCTCACTGGATAACATTTCCGTCCTAATTAATTAACTTTCCAATTTCTTCATGCGTTTCTGGACCTTACTTAATAGTTAAAAGGTAGTATCAGCATGCCTGATAATCTGTATTATTTTGTAATACGTAATACGATCATGATATGATTATGTGCAGGGGTGCCGAATAATTGATTGCAATTAAATTATACTACAATTGTGATAAAAACAATTCTAGACCAATTATATTGAATAATTGCAATTAATTACCATTTGCCACTTAAGCGTGATGAATCATTGTAATTCAAAGTTTTTTAAAAAAAAGAAATGTGTATTAAACTTCTTATTTAAATTTAAATAAAGATTTCTCGACAACCAACGGCTCAAATTCGACGAAGTCTTTTAAATTTAATTTAGCGGGTTGTCGAGAAATCGTCATTTAAAGGTTAAAAAAAATTTAGCCGCAGCTTTTTTTTTTAACCTTGAACTGGCACTTATCTGATCAAATTCGATCAAAATTATTACAGTGAAACCTCCATAAATGCACGCTCTTGTGACTGAACTTAAGCAACGTGCATTTAGAGAACAATAAGAAAAAGTGCATTCATAGGGGTCATGCACATATTTGGGCCAGAGATTGAGCATGCATTTAGAGAGGGTGTACATTTATAGAGGGTGCATTTATAGAGGTTTCACTGTATTTTAATTCTACATGCTCAGAATTAAACCAATAAAAATTTTGATCGAATTTGACTAGGTAAGTGCCGAATAATCTTCGTTCAAAGTTTTGATGTCTTTAAAAAAGAAGCTGCGGTCAAATTTTTTTTTTAGTTTTTAATGAATATTTCTCGACAACCAGCTATTCAAATACAATCAAACTTTTTTTAGTTTAATTTTATGAACCCCTGAATTAAATTTAAAAAATTTGGACAGTTGGTTGTCGAGAAATTGTCATTTAAAGTTCAAAGGAAGAAAAATTTACCCGATTTGGTTTTTTTTTCCCAAGATATTTTGAGTTTTTTTAAAAACTTTTTACTATGATTTCTCGACAACTAAACCAAATTAATGCACTTTTTTAATTTGGATTTCACAACAAAATAAAAAAATTGGTACCAAATTTAATAAGTGGTTATTGAGAAAAAGGTTTAAAAATATCGAATTTAATATAATCTGCGCCACAGTATCTGATATTTGAAAATCACCCTTCGGGATTTCCCGATCGGGCTAATTCGGAAAAGCTTAGACCAGAATGTCGGTTCTTATTCCACCCTTTGCTTTATTATTCGATAGTTTATTAAATAAACTGCCGAATCAGTAAAGTAAAAAGATGTTTTACAATAAGAACCGGCATTCTGGTCTAAACTTTTCCTAATTAGCCCGATTGGAAAATCCCGAAGGGTGATTTTCCTAGCAAAGATCCATATGGGGCGGCGTCAATTAAAGGGGCTTATGGCATTTTTTGCCAAAATGAGTCAACTATACTATCATATAAAGCAGGTATTTTCTATGTAATTTGATATTTAAAATAGCGACGATAATAAAATTTTTGTCGATGCCTACTTTTTTAAATGCTATGTACGATTAAATGTGATCTAAAATTAGAATTTAGCGGAGCCATAAAAAAGCGTTCATGTGATTGGCTAATTTATTTCGATCCAACAGGTTCTATTAATAATAGATTGTCATGAACTCAAAATCATACGTGCACGTATTTATGTATAAGTACTAGGTGGTTTACAAGAAATTAGTATTGTACCGCATTGACCTTATTTGTCCCTTTGAAAACATAATTTGGATGTCAGCAAGTTGCAAGATAATTACGCTAGATAGTAGTGCCATAAATTATTAAAATAAATAAAAAATTTATATTTGTAAAAAAAAATTATTTTATTTTATATTCGTGCTGTTTATAAAACAATCAAAAATAATGCAGCACGGCATTTAAAATAAAGCTTGTACCTGTGAAAAATTTGGCCTATTATTACTTTATAAAATTTTTATATTTGAAAGCTATACTTTTACGAATCAAATAAAAAATAAATAAATATATAAATACGCCTGGAATTGCAAGAAATAATACAATTTAACTAAAATTTTTTGCTCCATTATTTATGATCGTCACTGTATGAGCCCATGACTTAACTCTTACTAAAAATGTTAGTACCCAATTTTTCTTTAACGAAATTTTCAGAAAAACCCCATAACTTCTTTGCCAATTCTTCGTCTTTACCTCGAGTAGTAGGTTCACCTACTTCACCAAATGGTTCAAAATATAATCCACGAAGATTTTTTTCTTCAATTTCAGGACTTGTAGCAC